AAGCCTGGTTGACCGCACCCACTAATTATCCCACCCATATCATTAAGGCCCCCCAGAAATTCAATCCTAGAACCGCCACCGTGTTTGACCAAAGTGTAGTACAGTTGCTAAAGAAATCGGATCAATCCCAATATTCGCCACCCTCACGAAATGGCACTCAGGGGAGCGTCGTCACCACGCCCACTAACTATGATCACTCTGGTGGGTGTGGCAAAATAAAATGGCCGCCGAAACAGCAGAAAAAACACCTTGACAAAAACGGAGAAGAAAACAGCTTTTTAGTCACTTAGTGATGAAACAAGGTTCCTCGAGAAAAGCAGAGATCATGTTAGTTATATATTTAATATTATGGGTCGGCATAATTTAGCTCATGAATTATTACAGAAACAAAAAAAATTACTCATGACAACAACTCATAGCCACATCATTGACTTCCTAATAAATAGAGTTCTGAAACTAGAAACAATTTAGAACACTTCTTAAATAAATGATCAGAGTCCTCAATTAATATTAAATTAATGATCAAAGTCCTCACACTGGGTACTGTTCACTTATGTGATGCATTATGTTGAACCAAACATCTCTAGCACTAGGACCATATCTTTCACGCCACATAAATTCATCTAGATATGATGGCAACTGCTCTGCATGACATCCTTTCATTCTTTTCAGCTTCCGTTTTGCTCTACTCCAGTAAGACTCGATGTTTTGAGTATGCACACCAGTAGCTGGATCTACAAAATTGACTGAGTGATTAACCATTTGATGGGCAGCAACTTGTGGTAAAGAAGCAACCTGCCGATAAGCACTCCATTCGTTGGAGTAAACAGTGGTACCATTAGCTACATGTGCTTGAATTATGGGATATAGAGTTGCTGCCTGTCTATTTGGTACCAGTTGCATGAAACCTAGTGACGGTTGGAATGATGTGTCCACCATCCCAAAGACCCACAACTCCTGTCTAGTTGCTCGTCCTCTATGATGCTATAATAAAAAGTAATTAAATACATTAATGCTATGGGTAGTTATGTTACTTTAGGTTTGTGACGAAACAAGGACTCATCTATTTGGACCACTTTGCCTGGTCCTCCTAAAACAATAGGTACTGAGATCAATTTGGTGGAACAAACATCTCTTAACCATCCATAGACATCTACCGCAGTGTCAGGATTCACTTCAGCTTCTCTTGATGCATCCGTGACAGGGTACTCCCTTGACCACCATAGCATCAGAATCATCCATTTTTGTAATGTTATCTTTGATTGGCTAAAAAAGCTTCCATGCCTGATGGACCTTGTAGTTTTGCAAGTTGGGCAATACCAACATTTCCCATCACTACCAGCCTGTGCTCTTGGTCTCTCTCGCATATGTACACCATTGCATCTATTAAAGTCAATATAATTGTAAGTTACTTTTGTTAGTTAAAATGTTACATGCAATTCTTTTTAATATAATTCTGAGTACATGTATATAATAGTTTGTTTGGACCCCATCCTTTACTTTCCTATACTCATGTTTATCCTACTTAAAGGCCTATAGACCCCCTAGGTGCTAAGACTATTTTGTATGAATTATTTACGGTAGCCACCCACAATTAAAATTACTGACGGCAAGAAGCTCTCCACATCAAAGGCAGATCAAAGCCCAAGGTGCCGAAATGAAGCATAGCAAGAAAACTATGTTGCAGTAACAGTTACCTGGTCTATATGATGTAGTCTGGCCTC